CCCCATTCCCCTGCAAATTACTCCTTTTTAGATACCTGTCTAGTATCCTCTTGAGAACGAATATGAATCCTGCCTTGACCTCTACTTCCAGCAGGGCATTCCACAACCTAACAACTCTTTGTACATAAATAAACTCATCCTAATCTCCCTATTGTTTCCTTGCCAATTATCTTAAATTGATGCCCACTCGTCTTTAATTGACTCAAAGACCATTAGAAATAATTTCTTCCTATCTATTCTATCAAAACACTTCTCATAATTTTAAAGGCCTCAATCAGGTTTCCCCTCAACCATCTCTATTCCAATGAAAAATAGGCCCAGTTCCTTTGATATCTGCTCACAAATCAAGCCACTCATTTCCTCATGGCTCTGATGCACCTTTTTGAATAGAGGTGTTACAACAGAAACTTTCCAGTCTTCTAGAACTACTATCATACCCAAGGATATTTGAAAGATTATCATCAGAACATCTACTATTTCCTGCCTGACTTTCCTCAGTTTACCCAAATACTGTACATGCCCTGGGGATTTGTCTACTTTTTGAGTTCCATCCTCTCTTGTAGTGACATTTCCATTTCTTTTAATCGCTGCACATCCTTTATTGTATCCTCATTTTCTCACTATCACACTGTTCTGTAAAAACTGAGGCAAAATATTCTCTGCCGTACCTTTGTTTTCCATGACTAGATTTCGCTTTACGTCTTTAATTGGACCTAACTTTTCTTTAACTCTTTATGCAGCCCAATGAATCATATTATTACGATGTTGTATTTGAATATTACTCTCCATATTATGTGTATGTACAGGAAACCCATCCAGTGAACTGAATGAATAATTCATTCGTACAACTTCACAGCAATTCAGTGTTTTATACTTTCTTTAACAACATCTCAAACAGATCCATCAGGAAGGGTGGTTGAGGTTAGAACTCATTTTTTTTTTAAAAAAGGATGATTCTGTGATAGGAGGATAGTAAGGTAGATCAATTAATAACAGAACAGAAGTTTTTTTATATAATCTATAGTCTAGACTGACACTTCAATACAGTGCTGGTGGTGTACTGCATTGTTGTTTGTGCTATCCTTTGAATGAGATATTAAACCAAAGTCCTGTCCTGTCCACCTGTTCAAGTGGATGATAAAGATGATAAAGATCGTATGGCACTGTTTAAAATTAGAAGGGAGTTTCTCCTGATGCACTGGTCAACAATTCCCCATTCTCCATTCAATTTCTGACTATGTATAGGATATTGCTGCATGCAAATTGGCTGTCATGTTCACCGACAAAATACACAGTGTAGTTACAGTAAAATCCTGTGAAGTACTTTGAGATGCCCTCCTGATGTGAAACGTGCTATGGCAAATGCAAGGATTATTATTATTATATCCATCTTATAAAGGTGTTACTTGTAGTCTGATCAATCCAAGATTTCTCATGGTTCAAGAAAATACCTTATCATAACAAATTTCTACAAGTGTGCTTTTAAGAGGCTCCAAGAGTTTTGACAAGGTTAGTTTGACATTTGATGGCAACTTCAAAAGTGCAAGCAATGCTGAATTTCTTTCTCTGAAAAATATCATAATTGTACAAGTTGCAGTATCAGAAAAAATGAACCCTGATGGCACTTCAATCCCCAAGGACAACTCACTTTCTTGTGCTGCACTAGATTTCACTTGATGTATTATAGCAGCTTGTGATTCTTTCAGTATTTGTGTGAATCTATAGAGGCCACCTTTCCAGTGATAGCATTTTATTCTTCTTGACTAGCTTCTACCTTCCAACTTGGGAGAGTGAATAGTGAGATAGATCAAATTTAATACAGTCTTCTCAATGCGGTTATTGTGAGGAGTTTAAAGGCACATTGCACTCATAGAAACATGTTTAGCAAACTTGTGTTTACCAAAAGCACAAGAAAAATGATCAAAATGCTGTTGAATTGTGTCCTCAAACATCATTTAATTGTGGTTTAGACATGTCTTCTGATCTCACTACTAACAGAATCAATTCTATTGTTTAGGTATTGCTCACTTGTTCTGGATTCAGCAAACATAAGAAAGAGTCTCTCCTTATCCATTTTGTCAATTCTTTTTACTACCGTAAACTGAGCTATCGTACTCTACATCTCATGGAGGCAATACGGAACCTTGGCGTCTTGTTAGATCCTCAGCTGTCCTTCATACCTCACATCCATGTCATGAGCTGCTACGCCTTTCCCCATCTCCACAACATCGCCAAGCTCCGCCACTGTCTCACACCACAGGCCACCGAGACTCTCATCCACGCGTTCATCACATCCAGGCTCGAGTATGCCAAACTCCCTGCTTGTCAGCCTCCCCAACTCCACCTTCCACAGGTTGCAGACCATCCAGAACTCTGCAGCCCATGTCCTCTCCCACACCAGGCTCTGCGGGCCTATCACCACCATCCTTGCCCGGGTCCACTGCTCCCCATCATTCAGAGGATACAGTTCAACATCCTGGTCTTCACCTTCAAAGCCTTACACGGCCTTGCTCTCAAAAATTGAGAGAAGAGAAACAAAGTGGGACATTTAGTGGAACCTGCTCACTTGTAACATGGACTTAGAATCTGAACCTATTTCTCCTTCTGAATTATGCACATTATATGTGAACAATTATTGTAGCCAAACTTAAACCAAATCCGATTTAGCACAAACAAATCCCTAAGCAATTCTTGGCTGTGAATGGAAGTATTCTTTTAAATCAGACAAGGGAAATGGCACATTTAACCCTAATAAATAAATTACTGCAAGTGATGAATTATTTACGGTACAGTGCTTTATGGATTCAAAATTTCCTGTATCCAGGCTGCGAGGATAAGTAGCCATTCAAAATCAGTCAAATATGAAGTGAAGTATTAAAAATTGTGCACCATCCATTATATATCTTATGTGTAATAAGAGTTACATATAGGTCAACAGCATTTCAAAACTGCTCAATAGCATTGACCACTGTTCACTGTCATCCCTATCAGCGGTATATTGATATATTAGTTATGCTTTCTAATGCTTTGCATTTGTCAGTTCTCTGGATTGAGTTGGATAGAATTTGTAGGTATAAATGTGTCATTTTAGGTACCGTGGCATATTTTCTTATTGTACTCTATATAGCTCAAGGATTTATTAAAGCTGTGTCAACTGTTTTGTTCTATCGGTGGGAGATTTATGCCGCTGATCTGAAAATTAAAATGTCAAGGGTATTGTATTCATGTATAACAGTTGTGGGCAAGGTTTTTATTTATTTTTTTGTGAGCAACATAACATATTAATCATCTTTCAATGCATTACTGACCCTCTTACAGGTGAGATTGTGATAATAAAATATGCTGCACGAGTCTTCTGGCTCTTGACTATTTTCCTGAAAAAGGTTTATATAAATCCTTTTTGACACAGCGACACAGTCTATCAAAACTATCGCTGATGTTCATTTCAAAATGCTGTAAACTTTATCCCAGTGTTCCTTTGAGCAGAGAAGGCATGGGGAGAAGTTACATCTGAATCTAGATTTTCTCTGCTTCTGTAGCATCTTATAGTGTCCAGAACTTGGCAAATTACCAAATTTGAATTGGGTTTTCTGTAGGTTCTTAAGAGAAATTTACAAAACAGCCATTTCAAAACTAAGACTAGATTTCGCTAACTTGCAAAATTATACTATTATAGATTCAGGTGGCATTTATTCCCAATTATAATTGTATATAAAAAATCCCAACATTTTGGAGTCAGTAATTGAATTCCTGAGTAACAGACCCAAGGTCAAAAATTTGTCACTATTGATATTCATATGTGAGTTTCAGTAGGCTACGTAAATATGGGGATAACACAGGTAAAATCATGTAAATGAATGAATGTCACATGATCACAAGTTTGATTCAGATGAAGAAGGCTCTTCAGCCCATTTGATCTCATTGCTTCAGAACACCTGCTCTACTGTCCCCCCATCACAGCATCATCCAGTGTTTAAATGAGTCCAGTGTCCTGGCTTCCACCATCCTTCCTGACATCCTGTTCTACTTGTTAACTACCCTGAGTAAAGAAACACTTCCTGGTGTGTGTCCTGAAATTGTGTCAAGAAGCATTACATTTTTTAATCTACTTACTATATTGCTAAAATTGGTCGCATGTTTGAGCTCTTCCCTCTGAGCTTGGAATGGTGGTTGTCTCCAAGATTTTCAGTAACACCAACTTGATTTCCTGCTGGTGGCTGCCTTTTTGTTACTGAATGTGACATTCCATGGGCTATATTTAAATGAATCTGATTTCAATGCCGCCAGATTGGAAGAGGTAAACAGTTCAGCCTGGGCTTCCTGCACCTGTTGGCTGTCCTGGGCCCTAGGTGCCTCTGTTGGAAAGCTACTTAGGTGAGATTCCAGGAATATGGTTGGAGCCTGCAAAGCTGTATCCAGAATATGTCAGTGCTGATAATCGAGCAGGAGAGAAAATTAGCAGAAAGGAAAACTTCAGCCTGTTATTTTTTAATAGAGGTGTGAGGGAGTTAAAAGGTGGTACGCCTTGTAATGGAACTTCCGACAAGTGTAAACAAATTGCGGTTTATAACGCCATCTGATCTCTATAGTGTTGCTGCCTTGCAATTCTTCCCATAACTATCCACCATTGTCCATAGGCATTAATTTCCTAGCAGTAGTCTCCATCTCTTCATATTGAAATAGGGCTTGATGCCTACCCCTATGAGCTGACTATACAAACACTGTAGTCAGATTCGAACAAGAGCCCCCATCTGAAAACGTCTTATGTTATTGGGTCTTGGGTTTTGAAAGTGATTGTAATCCAATGCCCATTTTTTCTCAGGTGGTTGTGAACTATTTGTTAGGGTGTCGTACCACAGAGCTTCCACATCTTGCCTTAGTGACTTCAAAAGGAAGGTATAGTTTTGTTGTCTTGTACCAGTGCATGAAGCAGTAAAACAAAGTAACAGAATGTCTGTGAGGAATGTTATAAGCCCTTTTCTAACTCTGATCTGTGACAGGCGGACCACAAAGACCAGTCTCACCAAAATCAGAGTGTGAAGAGAGGAAGCAGGAGAAGGGAGACAAAGGAATGGAAAGCGCCACCTCTTGCAATGAGCTCTCCACCTCCAGCTGTGAAAGTCAGTCAGAAGCCAGCACTCCGCAGGAGAATATCGCTGCTGCAATGCAGCCCACAGCACATCAGCCTAATACCCTGACCTTGGATCGCTCCTCAAAGAAAGATCCCGTGCAGTGGATGCAACAGCCAGAGAAACGCAGAAACAGTGAACTTTTTCAGACGTTGATGAACACTTCACGTGACTCGGCCCTCTGTAAAAAGAAAATCAATGAAAAATTGAGCGTCGAGGATGAAATGAAAAAATGCATCCAAGATTTTGGGAAGATCAAAATACCCCATGAGTTCCCAGAGCGTAAACGCCCGTGGCAGTCCGAACTATTGCAGAAGTACGGACTTTAAGAAACTTGCTGCAGTTTGAATTCAGTTCGAAATAAGATTTTGAAGTTTTCAACTGCCTACTGTCCATCTCATCTTTTCTGTCCTTAAATTGTGATAAGACTGTTTAGAAAAATAACACGGGATGTTTGTCAGCTAATCAGTGGGGACTTCTGTTCCACAACTCTGTATATCAGTTATACATTGTCTTCTAGAAAGACTCTATTGAACACAAACATTTGCAGGTAGATTCAGTGGATCACACATTTAGATTAGACATCTGCGATCCCTTCTAAACTGTACATTCGTAGTGCAATTCTTCGTATAATTCTTCTTAATTTAATAGATTAAGAACAGGTCAAGTGCCAGTCAGTAGCAAGAGTGTTGTGATCCTGAAATTGACAATGTGGAGTCAAGTATTTGAATGCTCGTTTGCAAGACACGTCTTAAATTTTACTTTTTTTTAATTCAATATTCCAATATTCTACAACCTTCTAAATAAAATGCTAGTATTATCACTATAACTAGTCACAGGTGTTAGTCTGGCTCAGTTGGTGGCATTCCCACCTCTGAATCAGAAGGTTCAAGCCCACAGGAATCTGAACTCACATAATCCAGTCTGACATCCCAATCCCATGCTGGGGTTGCTGCATTGTTGAAGGTGCTGTCCTTCGGATTAAACAATAAACCAAGGTCCATTCTGTCTGTTCAGCAGGATGCAGAACTTTCGAAAAAAGAAGGGAGTTTCTCCTGTATCCTGGCCAACAATCTCCTAGATAATATTGGTTATTCACTTCATGGCTGTTTGTGGGACATTCCTGTGAGCAAATTGGCTGTCATATTCACCTGCAGATACACAGTCACTGCACTTCACAGTAATCCTATAAAACACTTTGAAATATTTTGAAGATATGATGTGGTGCTATATCAAATGTAAGGATTATTGTTATTAACTGTACTGAACACCAGGGGACAAAACAAGTGATATCGTTCAGTTTGATAAATGTTTCAAGTATTCACAATATTTAATGTTTCATCATTGCACTAACTTAAATACTAATACTGGCTACGAAAACTTTCTCGATTTAAACTCTGCTTTAATTTCGTAGCCATGTAAAATGCATAGGGTGCATGAATTTCAGTAGCATTTTTATTCCTCAATGCAGAATTCCATATCTGATTCAGTATTGTGTAAGGCATTTTCTAAAGATCAATACCATAGAATTGCATAGAACACCATTTAGTGGCTAAGCATGCCATTTAGCCCAACTAGTCCATGCCAATGTTTATTCTTCACACAATCCCACACCCCTCCAAATTCCCAATGTTCCTCTTACTTTTATACTCCTCTATTCCCGCCTCCTTCATGTATGCATTAAGTTTCTCTAAAATATATTGATGCTTTTTGCTTCAACCACAGCTTCCAGTGGGAATTTCCTCATTTTCACTGTTCTCTGTGTGAAGAAGTCTTTTAAATTTGACTTTCAAACTGCCTTTTAGATTTGACTTTTAAACTGCCATTTAGATTTGCTATAGTTAACATATATTGGTGCCCCCTCATTTTGGATTCATCAACAAGTGAAAACAACCTATTAACATCCACCTTATCAAATCCATTCATAGTTCTTTAACTTTAATGATTACTTATTATTTTAAGTCAATATCTGGGCAAGAATACTGTGAGATTCGGATCGGGAGAGTTTCTAATCAAGAGGTGAAAAGAGAAACTATTCACCTGAATACAATCATTTTCTAGTCAATATAGGGTTCTTCAGTTATTCAGAGTGATATCTAAGAAATGCAAGAGTAAAACTTATGATATTCCTTAAGTATTTCTTAAATTAGCACAGCATATATCACCCCATTTAGGGAGAATATTTTATTTGTACAAATAGTTATTTTCTGGGCTGGATTGTCACATGAGTGGTGATATGTATGCTCTTCCTTACCCAGAAATTGCTATTTCATTTTCAGAGCCTTGGGGTCCATTGTTAGCGTTTTCCACACATTTTGGAAGAACACACATTTTCCCTCTCACAACACTAAAGAGCACAGTTCTGAAATTGCACCTAGTTTTAGCCATTGGCTCCTAAAACTTAAGATTCCACAGAATTGTGCATCCTTCAATTCAGTTTTGAGGTCAGCCTTACACCGTTCTTAAAAATAACCACCTTCCAAGTTAAAAAAACGATTTCAACATTGTTCCACAATTCTGCGCAATATTCAATTTAAGGATGAAATGGTCTCACATGTCAAGATTAGGCATTTCAGGCGCCAAGTATGTTAGACAGACTGAAAAGCAATGTTGAAGTTATGCATGAAGGTGTGCTTAGGACCCAACCAGATACCAATGATGCCAACAAGATTGGGAAAGGTCACCTAAATATAACAATGAAAATGAATGTTTTTAAATAATTTCCAATACCAAATGTTGTCACATTTCCATTCTCTTTAAGACAAAACACTCCTGGCATATGAGACTGCAATATCACATTATATTTATTGATCATAACATGAGAGAAATAATAATAATCCTTGCATTTGATATAGCGCCTTATCACGTCTTCGAGACGTCTCAAAGCGCTTTACAGAATATACTGTAAAATGAATTGACGGTATATTTGATGGGTGAAACAGGGCAGTCAATTGCACACAGCAGTGTCCCACAAACAGTCATGGAGTGAAGTGACCATTTTATTATTATTTTTTTGAAGGAATTATTACCCACGGAAAAGCGATCCGCCAATCGACTAACAACTGGGTTCCTACTTACTGCTAGGTAAACGAGTAGAGTAAGGAAACTTGCCCAACGTTTCGCCCTGCCAGGAATCAAACCCAGGTCTCTCGCTTGTGTGCATGCAGAAAGTTGTACAAGGGGATACCAAGGATAAGATTTAGCTACACTGCAGGGAAATTTTGTTCTCATTAACTTTTGACATGCACATGACTGGGATTTTATCAGGGTTCCACATGTTGACAGTAAACATATTATCATGTATTTTGAGGCAAGTTTCGGCTTCAGACAAACGCATTATTCTTTAGCAAGAAGGATGGCCATTAAATAGCATCAGCCATTAGATTCATGTTTCTATTTCTTTGTGTAAAACAGATATTGCCTTTTAGTCGCATTTGCTGTTAAATCCTTTGAAATTACAGGATTGATGTTTAAAGTTTCCATTTTGTGTTTCCTGTACTGACTCAATAGATGTGATGTGGCCTTGGTACTGTGTTCCAAGAACAAAGCTTTAACAAGCACTTTGCTCAGAGAGAGACAGGCTATGATATTCTGACAGTTTCTGAACCAAATGTAGTCTAAATCCATCACTTAGAAAGAAAACGACGAAAACCAGTAACTGCATTAATTTATGGGCTGGAACAGTCAAAATAAAAAGGATCATGATTATATTCTGGCTATTAACTTTACCCTCGAGCACAATTATTTCCCAAGCTATAATTCACAAAATAGTCTTCTCACAGCGTGAAGAAGTGAATTCAGTTCTCCAACAAAGACACTTATTTCAAAATTCAGAAATATAATTTGCTACAGAATGACAGATTTGCCAATATCCTAAGAGATGATTAAAACGTACAGTAGTGAACTGATTACCCACAAACAGTGCTGATAATTGGACATCATAGAAACTTACAGTGGTAACTAAATAATTGTTCCATCACGAGTCATTACACTACCACTAGTCCTCTCTCTTTCTCGCTCTTTCTTTCTCATTCTCCTTTCGACTATCTTTTTCTTTCTGCCTTTCTCTCTGTCACTGTCTTTGGATACTCTTAAACATGGTGATGGGTTTCCTCATGTGTTAGATGCCTGACTGACCAAATCAAAACTGTCTCCCTGAGTGTCTCTAATTTTCTTTCTTTCTTTCTTTCTTTCTTTCTCGGTCTCCAATCTTACATAATAGATTGTTAAATAAAAAACAAAATGCTTATCTTTGTTCACAGGCAAAATAATCCAGTTGTGTGCATGCAGAAAGTTGTATAGGAGGATACCAAGGATAAGATTTAGCCACACCGCAGGGAAATTTTGTTCTCACTAACCTTTGACATGCGCATGACTGGGATTTTGTCAGTATCTCACTGCCCCATGTCCACGAGTGCAGAACCCAATGTGGATCAATGATAATGCAGATAATTGGCATTCTCTATTTTGTCATGGGTAATGACATGGATAATGACGGTGTGGTCTGTTTGATAGTTTTAGCTCTAAAAGTTCCATCTACAATGCACTAAACACCAAGTTGGAGTTGTTCAATATCTCTTTAAAGTTATTTCTTCAGAAATAATGGAAAACGATTAGCATTATGTTGCACTCATCACAATCACCGAACACTTTCTGCATTTGTTTCTTCCATTTTGATGATTTTTTTGTGTATTCTGAAAACATTGGGAAACATTTGGAGTTTCTGAGCATGACAGTATGAGAGAGATAGTTACTTTATACTGACCTCTAGACATAGTGAGCTTTTTGCTACACCTTTAGAGTGGGAAAAGACTTTAGCAATCAATGTAAGCTAGACCTCAGTGTAACCAGGTGAAATTGCCTGGTTTAAAACTTGTTCTGATGACACAGAAAATAATAATCCTTACATTTGATTTGTTTGATATTATACAACAGCTATTGTTGCAAAGCACTTCACATGTTGTCAAGTTTAGTAACTGAATTTGAAGGGAATTCAAGCAGCAGTAATGTCATTCCATTACTCCTTATAATGGAAGAGCAAATACTAGCCAGTACTATTAGTGGGTGAGGGAGTGGGATGCAACTTCTCTAAAGGGAAATTGACCAACTATTACTAGTAGTTGCCTCTGTATCCGAGTAGCTGTTTAGTTCAGTGCACTACACTGTTAGACACAGTAACTCCTCCAAGTTAATTGTCTTAATATTATTGACATTATCACTTGGGCTTTTTTTAATTTCTCATACAGAAATATGTAAGTGTATGTTAAAGTTACATATCAGTCTTGGTAAAGGTTTGAATTTGTGATCAAACCTTTACCAAAATGTAATTTTGTGTAGTAAAGACTTGATGAAAAAAGTAAAAGTTGATGAAACCATTAAGAGCATGTTGTATGGATATTTCCTGTGTGAAAAAATCCCTGTAAAGATTTGCAGTTGTAGTGTCTTATATCACGTTGTTCAAAAGCTAG